ACGAACAATATAAGAAGACGACGCCGATATGTTCGATAAGATGATCCTGTGGAGATAAACAGGTGGAGCAATCGGGAATGAATCTTGTCTTTCTCTGTACTGTACATTTGTGTTTGACGTTTAATACCAATTGAAGGGTCGTTTTATTTTGCGAGGGAAAATATTTTTCCGATGCGAGTAGCGATTTTCTACTCGGACGCAAGGTAGACGAAAAGAAAGCGATCGAATAGAGAGGGACTTATTAATAATCGTAAGCGAATGAGGGGAGATAAATGTAAATATGCAGGGCGCACACAACGGAATGTAGAATCTCGGTTGTGTTACGTCTGTGTGTTGGGTGTATTTTGTAGTATCACGAGGCGCCGCCAGTTTTTTTGGACTTCTTGACCATCGTGAACTTGGTCGTCACCCTCCTTTTCCTCATTGAGTGCATCCTTAAAGTCATCGCCTTCGGATGCAAGGTATAAACAAGCCTTTTAATCGCTCTAAACTCCACTCTCACTCGACTCACACTCTGCCAAATATAATACCACCGTAACTCCGCCGACTGACACGACTCATCTTGATCATTGATCGTGATTTTTTACGGTCGGATGGATTCACGTGAAGAAAGTGGGGATCCCGAAAACTGGCGAGAGGAACCGTAGGAAGGAGTGCAACGAGACACCGCGAAAGTACTCGCCAATCGTGAATGAACGATACATTCGCGATTAACTTTTAGCGCGAGATTCTTAAAGAATTCTGTATAATTGTTTGAGATGCAATAATGTTACCAGAAAATAGGACTTTGTCATCAGTCGGTATATAATAATTTATAATGTTCTTATTCTCACATATTTTTTTCGTAAATAGTTAAATACATATTGATAAACAAAGAATTTTTGGAAATTATAATCCTTGCGAATTACGACTTTTTTACGAATTGTAAAAGAAAGGATAGGCAATAGAAGTTTGATTTTCGATTAATTTCAACATAATTCTTTTTAGATAAGATTCTTCTTACCATTTTTTCCAGTAAAATTGTATTACGGAAAAATAATCTCTAAATCCAGATAGAAACTTATAAGCTACAGAAATTAATTAATTATTTAATATGATCTCCATCGCGCTCCATTATTATATACGAATTTCAGTTCTATTGTTTATGGCAATTTCTGTTTTTTGGTAAAAGTGAAAAATGTGAGAAATCAAATTCGCGTGTCTCTACCTCTCTCTCTCTCTCTCTCTCTCTCTCTAGTTTGCTTGCTATTACCGGCATGCTCCCGTAGATACTTCTCTAGAAGAGATCCCGTCACTTATACTTCAGCCGATCATCGATCACCAAAGCGTACAACATGGGTAAACGCTTTAAAGAAAACTCTGAAGCGCCGATCTTTTCGTTCTCGTGGATCTGCCGTGAATATTTCAAAACGAGCATTCTAATTTTAAATATTTTTACATTACGATCAGGGAAAAAGGCAACAAAATTTCGTTCTTTAGAGGTAAAGTAACGTGAGGATTATCAGTTAATTGAATTCGCAAAACATGAAATTTACCATAAGTCGTAACCGACGAAAGGCTAAAGATTAACGAAGCGGAATGTCGAGCACCCGGTCTCGACCGATATTAATTAGACCGCAAGACTATTCTTTGAATTGTTCCACGACGAAGAGATCTGACCGACGAGATCATAATAACAATCAGAAGCACCGTTCAGAGAAGCACATATTACAGAATCTCGATAATTAAATCCATATAGGAGTGCTCACGAACTAACAGAACACGCACATGACACACGAGTATACAAGCACGTACATATAACACACACACACACACACACACACACACACAATAGCGTACATTCATAGAAAGAAGGCAGACCGCGCTGTATCTTTCTTGTCTCTCGAACTCTGACTTGTAGTTTCTTCTTTAGTGGTAGTTACGCAAAACATCTCACACATTCAATCTATACCCAAGTTCGTTCAACAGATCACCGGGACACAGGTCCTTCCGAATTGTTTGCTCGCTCGAGCGAAAACTCGAGCGAGACAAGACCAAACAAGACACGACATGAAGAATAAGAAGATTATTCAGAAATCCACGAGACAAGTTGCTTGCTCGATCGCACTGTCGTTGATAACATGTAGGAGTATATTTTTCCACATTCTGACATATCCCTTTCTCACCTCTTTTATTTTCTAAGCAATTGCAGCGCAAGCCCGACTGAAACAGCGTCAACCAGGTAAGCGACGCGACGAGATGTTAATTAAGAAAGAGACTTCGAAGAATCGTTTCTGAGATGCGTCGAAGCGGCTTTCAAAGCGTATTTCAAATCGTTTGGAAATTACTTAGTCGTCTGTATTCTTTTCACCGTAACAAGAGAATTTGGACATTTGAACAGAGAGATTTTGGCATTATCATAAATTTTGCTGTCTCTCTTTATCCGGTTGCACATATCATAATTTCACGGTTTCACATAATCGCATTCGTTTCTTTCATTTGCGCGATTGTCTCTCGTAGTTTGTTCGATCTTTGATTCTTATTCTTCATGGTGTCTTGACCTTGATTCCGATTGCTCGTGTGTGAAATTCAAGTTCTCTCATCCGCATTCGTAGTCGCGATGGAGAATGCCGGTCGAGACTGTTTAACGAGCTTTCGGGTGGTAGAGTCGAAAAGAAAAAAAAAATGTATAACCCCCCCCCCCATCAACAAGACGAGAGATCACATGCTAATCGATTCTTTCGACTGTTCCCGCGAGCAGAACTTCTTCAGGGACGCCTGGAACATCTTCGACTTCATCACGGTGATCGGTAGCATCGTGGACGCCCTCGTGATCGAGTTCGGGGTACGTAGAGCACCGAAAAGTAGCACAGCAAGAGAGTATAAGTGTTTAATTGCGCTCTAGCTACTGAACCCGTAATAGAACTCTTCCAGGTATATCTATACATGCACTTTGTAATCGGAGACCTCAGGAAACCCGAGGCTAGGCTGTGATTACGATAGTTGCTCCTTATGACGAAAAATCATCGCGACGAGGTTGTCGCGACGAGGTTGTCGGAGAAGCCGTTCCGAAATGTCCACTCGCATTCGCACTTTGTTCAGCAAATTATAAGTAACCGCGCGAATTGTAAAAATTGGGAAAATTTCGCGCGTTAGATCGCTTGGGGAGCTATTTCGAGATTAACGCTAGAATTACCGAGACCGATCTTAATCTTTTAGATAAATCTTTTTTCTATCAAAGCGACGGTCAAAATGACAAGTTTTGGAAAATTATAAATAACGCAAGGGGAGAAGTGATCATTTAATCTTTGGCCCGTTCAACTTAAGTCCGATTAAAGGCGAAAAGATGCGCCGTTACGAATTGTTGTAATTTTCCAAAGAATTTACAAAGCCGCTTCCTTTAATCGTTCCGGCAGTTCTAGTGTCAAAAAGAGCGAGATTCGCGGCCTCTTTCGATTCTTCTTGCGATTTGGTAGCGAAGTGTGTGGACACGTCGCGAGTCGTTTGGACATATCGGAAGCGATTCTCCCGCGTCGGAGGCGAATCTCGTCCGGACGCGTTTTTCGTCGGGATACGCATCTACCACCAGAATAGCGGCCTTAATTGTCGCGGCAGTGTTGCTTGATGTGTATTACCTTTGAGCATTACCTTTCGTTCAACCCTTTTGCTGCTTACTTAGATTTCGGCGTGTAACCGTGTGACAAGCTATATAGCAGGTAAAATTACCGACCAATTCGGAGTTACCCCTTACAGTCCTTGTGTATCTCTTTAGCTTCGTGCTGCATTCATACGCTATATACATTACACCGTACATCGCCACATTCTCGCACAGACATATATATTATACATTTACGTCAGTATATAATATTATAGTTGAAACTCCGTCAGACACGGACACATATACATGAGAACACGCCCCCCGCTCCTTAGATACCGACCCTATCCTTAGGAACATTCTTCCCCTCTTAGCCTGGAAAGAAAAAGAGAACAACATTGTTTTTCGATGTCTTGTAACTAGATGGATCGATGTCCGTTCTGATTTGGAAGCGGCGAAGGAGCGAGTTCATCGCACAGGACGCACTCGTCCTCTCGCTTGTCAAATCACAATGACATTGGTTACTCCAGTCTCACTGACGTAGCAATTACAGTCTAGTAAGAGATATATATGTATATGTATATATATATATATATATTATATATATGAATAATTATATATTGATATTGATATGAGAAGTGCGAATCTCTCTGAGAATATAATGTCTCTCTAGTATAAAAGTCTGTGGCGAAATTTGTATATTTGTTGCTTGCGCTTGCAAAACGACTTTGATATACAAAGAGATACATTTGAGAAGTATGTATATGTACAGGTAAGACAATAGTTAGAGTTATCCTAAAGCGAGTATTTTGAGCCCGATCTATATACCTTATATTGAAGTGGGCTGCTTTTACAAAAGTTACTCATCGTCAGTGTTCATTTATATTGCCAGCCGTTAGTATTTCTCTGCTCGTATATATTGTAATCGCCAGAAGTTGAACGATCAGACGTTTGAAGCCGCGCGGGCTTCAATCTTGCGGAACGGAATAATCTTGCAATGTCGCATATTTCTGTAATAGGAGCTGTTTTCGAGCGTGCCCAGTGGTGGCCAGCTAGACGAAAAGAAGGTATAAAATTACGATATTTAAGTTTGACGGCGTAAGTCGAGAGAAGTTGTACCACGATAACGACGATATTGCAAGTACAGAATTGTAGATATTACGATATCAGAGCGCTCGCGGAGAGCATTATCTCTTGCACCAAGAGATCAGAGACGAGCCTTTCTCTCTGCCTGTCGAGAAGACATTATTAGAAGGCATTATTTATCCGCAATTTATTGCTACTGATATTTAACGAATTATAATTGAAGATTCAAGAATATAGTCCAAGTATAGTCGAATGCACTCGAATGAGATATTTCGCGTTACAAAAGAATTGCATGCGAAATTGGCGACTGAGCTCGCGACGCGAGTGCCACTGAATATTCGCAAATGTTCGCAAAAAGCGAAAAGGAAGTCGCGTTCGGAAATGAAGGTAACGCGCCGGTAGCATTATCCAATTACTTTGCATTCTCGAGAATCCTCCCGATTCATTACTAGATCAACTCACCGTTATCCCGTTTACTTATCCCCCATGCATGCACTTTTTTGGATATATACATGAACTATTCGTACATAACACGACAAACAAGTGCGGAACATCTTACAACACCGACACCACCAGTCCAGATAGTCGCACACTGTAGTCACATCACAGACTACACCTCGATGGCATATGGATGCGGTGTGTCTAAATCTATCTCGATCTCGGCATATCGATCATATCTTCTTCATGGTAGCGATAGCGACACTCGGACGTCAGATTCAGCCGTCACAGCAAAAGGGTTTAATGTGTTTGCCGCGTATCACGCGTAACGCGTAACGTCACGCCGCGATCGAGCAAGCGACGAGAGCAACTCGATTATCGCGCTAATCAGATCTGCGTGCAGTCAAACGCGCTCCCTCTCGCGCCGTTCTCGGTACCGCTGAGAGCGGCGGGATTTGTTGCAATTTTAGCGTTGCCATAACGCGTGGAAAACTTGCATCGATGTCTCGGGCTTGAACGCGAATAACACGCGTCGACGGAACCGGTTCCCCGGAGCGAGTTCGTCGAGTATATACGGTATTGAATCCACTGACAACACAGAGATATACAGTTAGTTCATTGTCAAAGAGATCTTTTCTTTCATTTTTATAGCGTGTATACGTATAGCTATATACGTATAGCGTATATAGTGTGTATACTTTTATTTCTATAGCGTATATATACCGACGAGATATACCGATTTTATATTAGTCACCGATAATTTCTGTCTCAGTTATACCCTTCTTTCTTCGGTAGTGTGATTTTGCTTTCGTAAAATCCTCCTCGGTTTTTTCGTTCTTCGCGACGAACACGAGAAGTGTCGTTTTTGTCGCGTCGTTTTCGCGAGAGGATATATATATATATATATGTGTGTGTGTGTATATACGCACGTATGTCGCGCGAGAAAATTGCGTTGTTCTGTACAGAGCTTCGTTCGTGCATCGCCGAGGCATTCGCGAGAGAGAGGCACGTCGAGAGAGGACCAACGTCCTTCGTCGACGTACAGCTCGCGATGTCGAAACGCTGCACGTGCGAAGCTTCATCCCGGTCGCGATAAGCAGTCGGCATTTTCTGGGGTTTAAGTGCAATTTCCTCTGTCCCCTGCAGGAAAACTTCATCAACGTCGGCTTCCTCAGGCTCTTTCGCGCCGCCAGGCTGATCAAACTACTCAGGCAGGGATACACGATACGAATTTTACTCTGGACATTCGTACAATCCTTCAAAGTAAGCGATTTTCATTTGCCCTTCGCGCTGTGTATTTGCCGTCGATTCTTTTCCCTCGATATTTTTCGAATCTTTTATATTTTCATTCATTATCGATTTCTACAATTTTCATCGACTGTCTCTTGACAATGGGGAGAATAAAAATAACCGAGATCTGTCTTCTTTCAGGCTCTGCCTTACGTTTGTCTCCTCATAGCGATGCTGTTCTTCATTTACGCGATCATCGGTATGCAGGTATGAATCTCATCTCACAATGTATTTTCTCCTGTTCCTCGGGAAACTTATATATATATATATATATGTATATATGTATAAGTCCGTTGATCCGGTCCGTTTTTCGGGGGATAACGAACGGTAGGGTGCAGGATTGAAGCAGCGTAATCACTCAGGGGACTGATTGGTCAATAACAGTACGAACGTTAAATGAAATTGCAAGCCGTAATCTCTCACGGTTGTTTCCACCCGGAAGAAAGGGAAAATACGCACCGACAGTATTACCTCGCACTTGATTGGTCACACACGCAAAAGTAATCGATCACGCACACGAATCGAGTCGAGTCTCACACACGAGGGAGATCTTTCACGGACGAAAGACCGCGATGTTGTCCGACCGATTGGAGAGAACGGGCGCGGGACGAGATCGACGTTTATAATCCATAAGAGATCACACGTCATCTGGAGGGACTCGTTTATTATCCCGAGGCCGACGAAAGCCGTTTGTTGCACGATCGCACTGCCGAGTGCCGGGAAAAACGGCGTTGTCGACGAGCTCGTGATAACTTTCTGCCACGCGCGACCTTGCAGATTGGGAATTTTAAGTGACGACAGACCCCCGTTGGCCATTAAGTGACCCTGAAATTGTCCGTTGTCAGGTCTTTGGCAATATAACGAATGATCCGGGAACGGCGATCGATGATCACAACAACTTTCAGTCCTTCTTCGCCGGTCTTATGTTGCTTTTTCGGTGAGTCGAGCAGCTAGAGTACTGCCGGTTCGACGGCGGGCTGAGGTCATCTCCGGCCGGCCAGCGGCTGCACCGACGATCGTGTCTTTCGCGCACGTAGAGAGCAGCTTTCTTCATCTCTCTGCTCGCTTCCGTTGGAGGATAGACCGCTTCTCCTCCTAGGTGCTCTCTTCTAGTGCGCGAAGGGGCTCCTTCCGGAGCACGGCTGGTCCGTCATCGCTCGATCCTCCGTGATGCCTCGCGCAGTGGAAGTCGCAGAAGGGACGGCGTCTCGTTTCTCCTAATCGACGCGAGATTTCCCTGATGGTTGTTTATCGACTGCTACGATGATTTCCATTGATCTCGAAGCTTAATTCTTGCTTGATTGATCCGAGGCTTGATTGAAGTTGCAATTGTAACGACCGAAGTTACGGTAAACCTATGCATCTCCTGATGCATACTGTAATTCGTCAGTTAGTCTCCTCATGGGGAAAACAACTCCGTTGGCGTGACTGAATTTTCTGTTGCCCGGCGACTGGACGAAAACTTGATCGTTGAAGAACAGAGAGATTCGTACGAATTTCGTAAGAAATTTTTATTATTCTGATTGTACTTTTCTAATGGACTCAGTCACACGATTGATCTTGACTGTTGTGTCGCGACGAGTTCTAACGCGGTCAAGTACTTGAACGATCGTTTTCAGTCTTAATCACAGATATCGTCGTTTCTCGTCGTCGAGTTTTCGTCTAGTTTCCATTCAGTCATACGAACCGAAATTTCCTCGCCGTGCTACGGACTGCGATATTTCATTCGTCAGGCGCGATAAATCCACGCGTAAATGAAACGCAGCGAAATCACCGATGAGCTCCGATGCAGCAATGAACGTTAAATGTTAAAATGCGCGCGGCGTTAACCGGCGATTGTGAAATCTAAGAGACGAAGAGTCGAACATCGCCAGCCCTTCTGCGACTCACCGATTCTGCGGCGACGAGAACGAACCGACGAGGCAGCATTGAGGATGTTCCACGCGACGCGGAGGCCGGAGGCGTCGTCGAACGAGAAGTTAAACACAACGTAAAAGCGTGATCGTCGTGAATTATCTCTGCGGTAGCTTATTGCTTTGTTGGCATGAGCTGTAACGAGAGTAAGCTGCTCGACGTGTTAATCTGTTGTGACTCACTCCAGTTAGACAACCCTATAGAGAACCGTTCCCACATAGTCATATCTGTATATATATATATATATATATGTATATATATATGTGTGTATAATATATATATGTATATATATATATATATGTATATGTACATATAGTGATGCCTGCGTTAGAGAGTTTTGGATGAAGGTGCTACTTGAGAGAACGAGTTGTCGAAGCGTCAATCGTCGAAGTGTCGATCGACTCGCTGTCTTAGTATAGTAATTATGATCTATCGTAATTAGATCTATGCTGTATCGTAATTAGATCTATCGATGACGGTTGACGGTGATTTTACAAGCGCGAAAGTGCCATCGCGACTCGTCAGACACGAGAAGTCGCCGGTGAAGAAAAGAAAGACTCGTAATCGTAATTCGATATCGAGTGCGTGATACCGAAGCGTCGAAAGCGCGATGAATCCTCGTGAAATCGGCAGAAGAGAAATCCGTCTCTGTGATTTGGAAATTGATCTCGCCTCTGTCCTCAGCTCTCTCGAGTGCACCGCGTACTTGTTGAAAAGTGAAAGTTCAAGTGTGAGAGGTTGTAGTTAGAAAGTTCACGAAGATACTGTATAGCCATTATAATATGAAATCATTACACAAGCGCGATCGCGAAGCGATATATACAGATGACTCGAAATACGGTATACCAGTCACTCACCCGGGGGGGGAGGGAGGAGGGGAGAAGCAGGGAGGACACCGTGATTATTTCGCTCGAGCGTTTCATTACTTAAAGAAGCAACAGGAGGAGAACGGAAACTAAACGAAAGAAACAGAGACAGAAAAAAAGAACACACACACACACACACACACACACACACACACACACACACATACACATACACAAGTAAAAAAAAAAGAAACAAAAGAGGAGGCACTTTTGGTGACGCAATTTTGTAATGCCGCCTCCGCCTTTTGGCTGCGGCCCTCTTCTTTCTGTGGGTCTCAGGTATTCGGTAACATCGCGCTGGAACCTGAGACTTCTATTACCAAGCACAACAATTTCCAAAGCTTCATTCAAGGTCTGATGCTGCTTTTTCGGTAAGTAACACACACCACGAGTCTAGCTAACTGTTTCACCGCTATTCGGCATGGTCGCCGAGCCAACTTTCGCGCGACTCGCGAGAACGATCGGACGAGCATTCATCGCTCACCGCCACCCGCGCGGCAGCAGCTACTTTTATCACGATTTTGTTACGGTCGCTGACGAAAGACGGTTGATCCTCCATCCATGTACATCCACGACGCGTAATCCACGAGTAATATCGTCGATTGAGCCGTTCGCGTTCGAGGGTGGCATATCGTTCGCGAGATTTTGCAGAGATCCACCAGATTGTCTCACGTGGACTCGTCTGCGAGCTGCCTTTACGCAGGTGGAAATTTCTCTCTCTCTCTCTCTCTCTCTCTCTCTCTCTCTCTCTCTCTCTCTCTCTCTCTCTCTCTCTCTCTCTCTCTCTCTCTCTCTCTAATTTCTCTGAGACTTGTTCGTTCAGAATTTTAGATACTTCGACGCGGTTTTCGAGAGTGGACTACTCGACTGAGCCTGAATTTTTCCAAAATTGCAGTAACATCAGACATTTTCTTTCTCGAGAACATTTTCTCTGAATTAATATTCTACATCGACCTATGCCGCTCTCGTGGCGAACGCCGCAGTTACGACGACGTCCCGCGGAAAGTGTCGCCGAATCGCTTAAACCATATGATTTCCGCGCGAATTCTCACACAGCAGGCCTTTTCGCTTCGATACAATCACTTATTATTATGAAACTTTGGGACTTGACACTCTCGATCCAGCATAAAGGCAAACTCATTCAAGCGCTAAACGACACACGGCATAATAATATAATTATACATAGCGCAAACATGACAATACACCAGTAGCCTCGTGTAGAATTGAGTTCCGCCACATTGAGTTCGCAGTATCTAGGTCGCTTTTGGTGTTGCGTAGAGCGTTGGGTCTCGTGCATGAGTTCTGCGAGCTGATTTTCTCTTTCTGCGGCTGCGATGCAGCGCTGAATCGCAAACACGAATGCGCGCGGTCATTCACGGCGCGGAAAAGAGCTCTCTCTCTCTCTCTCTTTCTCTCTCTCTCTCTCTCTCTCTGTCTCTCTTTTTTCTACTATGGAGAATGAACGCTGCGTGAGAGACAATGAATCTAATCGTTGCAAATGAGAGAATTGGATTTGTCCTTTCAATCGGCGGCTGTCTGTTTTATCCGACGACGACGACGATGACGACAACGACGACGACGACGACGACGACGACGACGACGATGCTTATACTTTTACTCTCTTCCGCGGTAAAAATGCCCGTGAAGACCTCGCCGCGTGTTAAGCGCGCTTTGCGAAAGCCGAAAGGTCTGCATGTCACCTGCGTAAGGAAGTAGCGGAATAAGTGCGGCTTGCAGCGCGCGAGCGATGCACTCGCTGAAGCACTCGCAGCTCTCTCGTCCCGATCGACACACGGCGAGACGGCGGAGCATGTCGGCATTCTATGCTCAATCCACTGTGCGGTTTTACCCCAGGTGCGCAACGGGCGAGGCCTGGCCGAACATCATGTTATCCTGCATAAAGGGTCGGCCGTGCGACCAGAAGGCCGACAAGCAGCAGGATCCGAACAGTTGCGGCTCCAATATCGCCTACATCTACTTCGTGACGTTCATCTTCTTCTGCTCGTTCCTCATGCTGAATCTCTTCGTCGCCGTTATCATGGACAACTTCGATTACCTCACTCGCGACTCGTCGATTTTGGGCGCTCACCATCTCGACGAGTTCGTCAGAATCTGGGCCGAGTACGATCCGAACGCCACCGGCAAAATCCACTATACGGAGATGTACGACATGCTGAAAAACATGGACCCGCCGTTGGGGTTTGGCAACAAGTGCCCGAATCGGCTGGCGTACAAGAAGCTCATCAGGATGAATATGCCGGTGGACGATGACGGCAAAGTCAACTTCACCACCACGCTGTTCGCTCTGATACGCGAGAATCTCAACATCAAAATGCGATGTGGTGAGTGACTCGAGATTTATGTGCGCTCGTCAGAGGTCGTCTTCGTCGAACAGAAAGTTATAATACGTTGCTGTCAGTCCGTGCTTCCTGGGGTTTTAATCTCCTCTATCAAAGCTTCAGAGCTGTCCCGTCGATTAGCAGAGAACGTTAATTCCAATTTTCTACTTGTTGTTTCAGCTAACGAAATGAGTAAAGCCAATGATGAACTGCGAAACACGATCAGAAGTATCTGGCCTTTACAAGCGAAAAAGATGTTGGACCTTTTGATACCTAGGAACGAAGGTGAGCTCTCTCGTTCTCTCCGTCTGTTTTCCCGATCGAGGAGATTCGCTCGACCAAGCGGTTCTAATTGCGATTTTGATCCTTCCAGAATTGGGCAAAGGCAAGCTCACCGTGGGTAAGATATACGTCTGCCTTCTGATACTCGAAAGTTGGAAGACGACGAAGTTTGGTCAGATACAGTCTGCTGGACAGGTGAGTTTTCTGTCGAGCAAAGTCCGACTACTCTTCTTCGTAAAGATAATGAGAGATCCTAGTCACACATGTTCCCGTTGAGTTTCTTCGAGCAGAATCTTAAAATACGATCCTCTCGTCCGATCTCCGACTGGCTTCTCCGATCGGCTGTCATTGATCGATTTACCGAAGGTAAATTTGTTTGGCGTGAAAATCGATTTGTACATAAGCGGACCAGCGAAAAGCGCACTTTTCAACTGTACATCGCGAAAGAAGCGACTCAGACGGTCGATACGACGGGATCTCGATTTGAGAATGGAGTTCAAATGAATGTTTGTCGTTGGCTTCTTCGTGGTAGGAAATCTTACACGCGTCGGGTCGAGTCTCGAATAGAGAGAATCTTCTCCGGGTGATACCACGTAGCCTCATAGCGGACGCCCAAGATTTAGTGTCGTGGTCTGAGATTTTCTCGAGTGTAGGATAGAAATAGTTCCGATAGTTAGTTACACTCGAATTAACTCGTAGATTGGTCGTTTAGAAAATCCGCCGGGACAGAATGTACACGAGAATTTTCGAGCATTTTTCAACATCGATTGACATGATACGACGACTAGAGAATAGCGATTGCGTGACAGCGAGAGTTGAATTATCATTAACCGAATTGTTTTTCTCTCTTTTTTTTTTTCTAAGTATACTCGCAACGGAAAGTTCTACGGCAGCTCTCAATCATCTCTTTGTGTCTTTTCTCTTTGTTTTCCAGAACGATAACGATCTTATCGATAACGATAATGCTGGGCAAAGTCCTGCAGCCCAGGCGGTAGTACTTATTTTTACTCTTCTTATTATCTTCTCAACACTATTCTGTTTTACGTTTGCCTATACATTTACGTTTCAATTCTAACACACACATACACACTCGTGTCTTGTTTCGTATCAAGCGCTTACTGCAACAGCTTCCGTGATCTTCTCTTTTCCTCACCGTGATTCCTGTCCTGACGTTTTTCACGGGGAGATTAATCGTTAGCATATTCATGCTGAAGAGAAAGAGAATCTTTTGCGGTAAGACGCTTCATTCTTTTGTAAAATAACACTTTCCACCGTCAATATTTTTTCTACTTCACTCTTCTCACACGTCTTATCCGGAGGCATACTACGACTTCGTGTGAAGAACGATGTATCGCGTTCTCGGGATGTGTCCTTGATGTATTGCAGACGATATTTTTTTTATTTATTTTTTATTTTATCATTTTTTTTATTTTATCATTTTTTATCAAAAGTCTCATATAAAGTTAATATTTCGCTTTTTTTTATTTTATCATTTTTTATCAAAAGTCTCATATAAAATTAATATTTCGCTTTTGATTGTGCATAGACGGTGAGATGATTAAGACTGTACGCGCACATATCTTGTTAGTATGCCTCTATTATTTTTCTTACTACACAATTAACAGCACACACGATCACATGTCACACTCATATGATTTCTTTCAATCTGTCTTTGGTTTGTACAAAGTAGCTCTTTGTTTCCAATTAATATGACCACATCACACCTCTGTGGTCGTGGTGAAACGGCCATCGTTATTTCGACGATACGCACACAGACAGCCAAAAAATAAAAATATTTTATTGTATAATATGTTAGAACTGTATATTCATACATTTCTCGAGACCTAAGCTCCTGAAATTCGAGCAAAGTGTTTCGTAGGAAAAGAGAGGGACAAAGGGGAATGTAATTACAAGTGTGTGAAAAATGCATACGAGACGATGGCTGTTGCGCATGCGACGAGATTACACGGCAACACACTTTAGTCTATTTTACTTAGGCACTTATCACATTAGAAAAGTAAATCCGATAGAACGTTAATCAGGCACACACTGTCACAATCACACCTATACCCACCTACCTACACATAGATACACACACGTACGAGCCTTTAGACACTTAGTCCGTCTTACTGCGGAGAGGATTTTACTTTTTTTTTCCTTTTTTCTCTAATCGCACGTTTCTCCTCTCTTGTCAAACTAGTTTAGGATAAAGTCGAAGAATAGCTCACGTCGATCGATATATCACGAAGGGAGGATGATCTCTTCTCCGTCTAGAACAATCAGACGCGAGAGAATTCATCTATTTCTTTTTTTTGTTTGTCGCGAGTGCCGCGAGGCCGCCCGAGTGTGATATATACGATTGTAATACGTTATCAGAGTTGTTTTAGTCGTCGTGTTGATATCGGCTCTTTGTCCCGGCAATACGATATAGCTGTGTGTGTGTAAGTAAATCACCTTATAGAGCTCCGACTCTCTCACTCTATCTCTCTTCCTCACTCTTTCTCTCTCTCTCTCTCTCTCTCTCTCTCTCTCTCTCTCTCTCTCTCTCTCTCTCTCTCTCTCTCTCTTTCTCCTTCTCTCTCTCTCCCTCCCCCCCCTCTCTCTCTCTCCTTCTCTCTCTCTCTCCCTTCCCCCCTCTCTCTCTCTTTCTCCTTCTCTCTCTTTCCCTCTCTCTGTCTCCCCCCCCCCTCTCTCTCTCTCTCTCTCTCTCTCTCTCTCTCTCTCTCTCTCTTAAGCCTATTTAGAACGAAGAGTAGAACCAACGAGCCGATCGATTCTCGAGCCGTAACATAGTCTGCCTTTTGCCTCAATCTCTATAAATTATAATCGCCTCTTCTTCTCTTAGGTAGATAAATAGATAGATAGACACACTCTTCTCTTGCCAAGCCATATTTTTACGACTAATTAAGTAACACATAGTTGGCGATAACCGATCCTATAGATAACGTGACGTAGAAACCTGTTTTTCATTATGCCGGATATTACATGTCGTTTTGCTCACGAGCGTTTGACGAAACTTTCCTTCACTTTATTTAATTTGATGCGAGCCTCTCAGAGCAGTAGAACAGTTGGAGCTACATTGCCCCGTGTACGGTTTAACTTCGCGCTCGCAGAGTAAGCTCGGGCGCAAAGTTAACACACCGTCGAAGAGAAACTATCCTTTACATTAGGGTACCGTTGCGAGGAACTCGTGTGTTTCTTCTGTCTTCAGTTAAGTAGAGAGAAGAAAATCAATCGCGAGGGAAGATTTACGGGAAAGCGTTTTACCTCAAATTATTAACTTCATATAATAATATTTTATAATATTATTATCACTAACTTGATTACATAAATTTTTTATTCCAAATCGAGCTTTAATTTCTCAAAATTGTACGGTTTTACTTTGCGTTTAGAATATCGGTTATTTTTTCATCAAATTGAAAATCGCGTGCGACTGATTTCACTTGGGTCGATGAGAACGCCGTGGGATTTAGTGAAATCCGTCTCTTCGTGTCGCACGAGTTTCTTATATGTTTGTGTTATTTTTGTATAATGCGTTCCTCTGACGGCCGGTAATAATGCTCCCACTAGCTAATGCTATCAGAAGATTCTTTTCTCCTGTTTCTTACGTCCTTTACCGCAGTAGTAAATGTAGAGGAGATTAAACTTAGGCACTCTCTTTTGGCCAGTGGTTACAACAGCAGCAGTAGACTCGTAGACTTGCCCGATTTACCCGATCGCTTTCTACTAGAACGCAGTTTTTCTCCGTTCTTTAATCAATTACACACGTCATACCAACCGACATTACGTTTCTATATTTTTTCCGTACACACGAACACACGTGTAAAGCGCGCACCGAATACTCGCGGTGATTCACGAGTGATCACTCTCGGTTAAAACCGCGGTAAACCGGATAACAAGAACTTTCGTGCCGTAACAGTAATCCCACCAAAATACGGCGGACCAAGTTGCCTTATACGGTCGCGACGGATAAGTTCTCCCGAACACAACTTGTCGTTCTCAAAGCAGAGAAAAAAAAAGAATCCAAAAGATACTGATACGTAGTGATTGATCAATTTTTCTCGCGGCAAGCAGTTCGTGTAATTAATAATCGTAGTTCCGTAGATTGAAGAAGAACGATTGAAATTCGCATCCTTTGCATTCTTTCACTGTCCATCGATAGTATACAGTCCTCGTTTGACAGATTTAGCCAGAGTACTTCTGACAAACTCACCGACGCAATACACGCGGAGTGTCTCTGAAAGAAAAACAGTACGATGGTGTTGCTCGAATATAATTTTTTAGCGGCTGACGTTTCCGCGATTTTAATTAATTTGACGATTCGAAACGAAACGAGCGCGCCATCGGTTTCGGGACACCTCGTACAACGGCATGTTCCAAGTCCCTCGACTCTGGAATACCGATATTTTCCGGACTTTATTATTTTGTCTTTATTGTTTGTGCTCATTACGTGCACAAGTAATTATTCGTGATGATTCTCGTTCAGTGTTTCCACGACGGTATTCCAGAGTCGTGCAAACGTCCGACGCCCCCCTGTCGTACGGAAGAGTAAACCGTCCGTGTGGAAACCTTATTCTCTCTAATTGTGCTAATTTACTAGCTTGCGTGTATTTTATACTTAAGCCCGTTTTTTGCATATCAAGCAGCAGAGTCTCAATTTTGCCCACGATTATTTGGCATATGTGTGTATATACATATATATATATATATATATATATATATAGACACACATACATATACATGTATGGTATCTTTGCGGAGCAAACCGTCCGTGTTCCACCTAGCACCCAACGAGGACGATCGAACTTACGGCACGTCTCCTTGGTGCACGAAAATTGCGACATTTGATTATCGCGAGATATAATCAAGCGACTTATTCTAAGGTAACACATAGCACAGCATGTGGTGGAGCACTGGACGCCGCGCCTCGCGTTATTTGCATGCTCACTAATGATTTTTGCATTTTTGCGGTAATATTACATCTCTTAAGGCAATTGATCGCGTCTATACTTACTAACGCATTTGCTCTCACTCACGACACTCTTATGCGTGGAAGGAAAGGAATTGACGTTTTTCCCTCTTTCGTGTGTACGTGTAACATAGTCCCGATTAACATATACAGGCTTTCCGCGATGCAATACACTGTTGCCGAAAGTTGCCTCGCTGCGATTGCGCTTATTACTACTATTATTATTACCACTATTTTTATTACTATTACTACTACTGTTACTATTATTACTTTTGCAGCTCTCGTAAACTATTGCTCCCACAACACGTTCTTTCTCTTTCTTTCGAACAGCTCGAGACAGCGAGAGTCAGCCCGTCTTGAGAACTGACTACACTAGTATAAGCGCACTATTATTCACGATATTTCTCCTCTTAGCATGTCCGCCTCTTTATTCTGAAAATTTTTCTTGCCATTTTGTACCGTTTGATTGATTCACGATTCTCTTGAATGCTTCCGATCTTTAAGCGTACTCGCATTCTACCCACGATTTTACGAGAGACCATCGACGAGAGGTAGTGCACAAGAAAGAGTAAAACAAAAAAAGCCTGTATGTGCCTGTACATATTTAATTTACTTATTACTATATGCGTGTGTCGTGTGCAGAAGGGCTAAAAAGCGGGGAAGTAGAAAAAAAACGCAAAGAACGAAAAAGAAAGAAAGCGGTAGATAAAAAAAAGAAAACGAAAGAAATTGTCGATCTGAAAATCCAAGACCGCCCAGTCGATCAGCTCTCATAGCCGGTGTGCTTTCGCACGTTCGAATTTAGCGATCGGCCTTCTACAACTGCCTGCTGGACATGACGGCGGTAAATCACACCGGAAATAATCACGGAACCGGAAGTAGGGCGAACAGCCTCGAACCGGTGACGCGACTCACGGATGTCAAGCACGAACGACTCAAAGAGCACAAGGATGAGGAGGAAGGGGCCCTAGGTGTCCTCGCAGCCGCCGAGCACAGACGTCAGCGTAGCATCAGGTACGAAACATTTCAATTAATCAAATAAATAATTAATCAATTAAACAAAAAATGGGGGAGAAAATGGGAAAAGCAAGGAAACGAATTTCCGAATTTTTCGTACACGATCGTAGACACTGCGTGATTTTTTAAGGGTTGGAATTTTGGGGAATGCGCATCTATTTCGAAATGTTTTGTTCTGATCTGGATAAAACCAGAGGAGCGATCTAATTTTTCATAATTTACTCATTCTATAATTTGTTCTACACCGTTTGTTGATGATTTGTTGACGAACACGACACAATGATTCTTCTGATTTCAGAAACAAAAAGGTGAACTGGAAGATGTCTCACCAGTACGATATACTAGGCAGCAGCGGAGAGAGTAGCCAGGGAGGGGGTGGGTCTGGGGTTGTACTCGTAGTTAATGACGAGGATCGCGCCCCCGAGCTAGAGCCATTGCTGGCTGAGGTGCCCTCCCAGCGGGATCAAAACAACTACTACCACCATCACCATCACGACCAATACTACGATACCGACAATGATCAATACTATGACCATCACCACTACCACCACCACCATCACCATCATCATCATGACCACCGACCACCCTCGTACTACCAACACCAGAACACCTACGCACCTCGCTCCTCGATCCGTTACCACAAGGTGTCGGCTCGGTCCAAGCTCCGCAGTAAAAACAAAAGAGAACATTACTTTCCTCCGTTATCGAGAGTATCCTTTCCCTCTGACTCCTCTGAGACGGTAGTAGATCGCGACAGAGTTATCCGTTGTCTCATTCGGGACGCAGTCGCGCACGAATCGCGGATCCGGTCGAAACCGTGTATGAGAGACACGTTTAGCCAGTTCCGTAGTCCGCATGGTGTTTCTGAATAGAGAAGATCCTGAGATCTCTGCTCTCTTTAAGGGCGTTAAACTCTCCTTACAGAATGCAAATTGATATCTCGAATCTAAAAGCAAGGTTGGTCATAATTTATACAAGTTTCACGCATCGACATAAATTAATTACTGCCGAGTTAAGCAAAATAATTATCGCAAGCTTGGTCGATTAGAGAATTCGTCATGGTTCAGAAACGTCCTGCATACGAATAGATGACGTAGTTCGTAACACTATATTTGAAGAGTTTAGATTAGGACTCGGTCTATCGCGAGATTATCCCATTAGAACGACCACTCTTAGGCTAGGATGTTGTCTGTCTAGTATTAATTGTGTCACCCGAATTAGATCTACTCTTTCTCTCTCTCTCTCTCTCTCTCTCTCTCTCTCTCTCTCTCTCTCTCTCTCTCTCACTCTCTGTCGAATATTGCTAAAAGATATAATTATTTCTTGGAGAAGAAGTTTTGCCGAGATTTAGATGAATAGGAAAGATATCCTTAGATAAAGTCGTATTAGATTGATATTAGCTTCCGAAAGAAGATTGAAAATCCTTAGTCTGATCGGGAACATCTGTGTGTTCCAATTAGATCATGCCGAACCGTCTTAAACGAGTCGATCGACGTTCTTTCCGTTAATATGACGTTCAACTTTTCCGATCCCTGAGAACGATTTACTCTCCGTCGTTGTTGATCCTTCGAGACGCGGGTCGCAAAGTGTTGCGCCTGATGTCGCGATTCCACGAGGCTCAAGATTGATTCACGATCAAGGAAAATTGGTAATTACGTTGCAGACATGATGGCCGACTCTTCGTTTTTGCTCACTCTTCAGATGCGTCGAATCGATCTTGATCTTTTTCTTTTTATCTCTTTCTCTCTCTCTTTTTTATTGAGTGTGTTAGCGCTCCTGTAAATGACATATACTCACACACCTAGAAACACACACATACATGTACTCTAGAACAAAGCTAGATCACTCTAGAGGATAGACACGTGTCACCCGAACGTTACTTTAGTGACTTTTTCGTGTCGATGCTAGAGACAACTCCCACCCTTGTCCCTTGCTGCTTTCGGCCTTAGGATCGCCGACGGGATGACGTGATGATCAACGCGATCAATTTTTTCGCGCCTCTCTCGTTCACCCCGTCGGTTCGCGCGTTTGTCTTAATTCGTTGTGTTTCCACGTCCTGGTAAGTAAGCAAGAGGCATTCTGTGCAATAGCAGACACTCTTGTCTCGAAAGTAGTGGGTATCTTCCTTCTTGGTCGCCCAACCAAGCGATTGGCGTCTACCGACGAGCATGTGCATGAGCGAGAGATTTTTTCTTAATTGCATGCTATTTTATATACGCGCGCGCACATATGTATGCCCCTCTCTCTCTTTCTCTCTTTTTCTCTCTCTCTCTCTCTCTCTCTCTCTCTCTCTCTCTATTTTTCTATCTATTTATCTATGAACCACTCTCGTTCCGCCTTATCAATTTCTCCTGTTTTCTGCGAAGCTAAATCTATCCTAGTTATGAAAACGCTGAGAATCGAAATGAATCAGATCGCACGTCTCGAGATAAAATCACGACGATCCTGCATTGTTGCTGCTTTATCGCCAAGTTAATCGGTGTCATTGAAGTTGATCCTTTAGGAATCGAATTGAGATGACGATTCGAGCGTGCGTCTGCTTCCGGATTCCGGAGACAAAAGGCGTCTCGAGTTACGATAGTTTCTTGTTCGGAGCGCGAATCAGCTATGATATTGCTAAAGACAAAGAACCGGCAACACCCCGACTCTCCTTCAAATCCCGACCCTGCCGTGTCCGGGGGCAAATTACTGAATCATAAGTCTGTTCATTTAGATGGAGCTGCAGGACATCGTAGTAGATGACTCGCGTCCCGATAGTCTCGAGAGTCTCACACATCCCGCGCCAGGCGACAGGCTTCATCCGCATCATCCCTCAGCGCCTCCGCCTAGACATCGTTCGCGATCGCCAAGCATAAGGTACCGACACAGATGAGAAAGCTCAGTTCTTACTCACTTTCTCAAAATCGATGACATTCAGTAGAGATTGTACGCAAAGTCGAGAGAAGACATGGCTTTGATTATCACCAAAGTCTGACACGATAATATTGTCAAGGTCATTACACATGTCCGGAGGCGCTAGCCGATTAATCGCAACAGGGTCGCTACAGGTGTGAGTCGTTTCGTTGTTATTGCAATTTGCAGAAGACCCTCGCCAATAATGCATAGGTCGCCATCGCCGAGGCGACATCGTTACGACCAACACGGTCACTACCACGAAGGACCAGGGTTTAGCGACACCGTTAGCAACGTCGTCGAGATTCAAAGGCACACACATCACCCCCATTCGTCACAGTATAATCATCGACATAGGATACGAGGTACGACGTACCGGCGATAATTCCGGCCAGCGAAAGCCACGGTGCAACGATAAGTCTTTTTCATGAGGCCACGACTGCGAACTCTGTTTCGTGTCGATCATCCCCAACCGGTTTCTCTCGTTGTCTTGATTAGCCTGGAATTTACTACGAACACAGCATCTTTGTACCTACTCTGCCACCGTACCACTGACATTTTTTATATTTTTGGTGTGTTATTTCCATTATAAATATTACTCTCTATATATACATAATTATATATATTATACATTTTTTTCAACCGGCTTGGTGATACTCTCCTGTCCCCTTCGGGATTGAAATTTATCTCGAAAGTGCGTAGCGTCTCGCGCGCTGTATCGCTGCATCGTCGTCGATGTGACGACGCAGCAAGTTGGAAAGGTTGAAATTCTAGCAGCTCTCCGCCGCACCTTAACGATCCACGAAAGTCAACGAAAGAGAGTTCGTAGTCACGGTTCATTAAGAACATGAATGTTGCTATAAATGGTTTTTACTCGTAAGAGGCAGAGGCTCTGTGTGACTCGATGTAATACGTTTCTTCGTTTTGTTCTGTTATGCGCCTACACAGACTATTACGACCACTGCGACTATTACGACGATGGTAATTTCTTTCGCAACTCCTTTTCATTCCCTTATCCACGGCAGTTATGGTGTTTACGATAATAATAATAATAATAATCAACGAACGTTTGGCTTTCACCGTTTCTTCGTTCCTGTTTTTTGCAATGACACGCGCAAGAGACACCCACCCAATCATTCACTCACCCATCACCATCACCACCACCGTCATCGCCATCACACTAACGTTATATACCAGTATACACGGTAGACCCACCAACCCGAACAAACCGATGTCCACACCAACAGCACCGATGCATCATCGCGTGTCGTTTCGCGCGGAAAGCGTTTCTCCTTGTTTTCGCCACTCGATGCTTTTTATATTAGAAGAGGCTGTCTACTGTGTGAGCACGACCGAACCTAGAGAGACCAAGATAGAGAGACTGTCCTAGCATAGATTAGAGTAGAATGTCTATCGAATTCGTAATCGTTCGTCGCAATTCGTTAATCTTGCGACGTGTCTGATACTCGAGTACGAATTGTTCTCCAAAAGATTGTCGTCGGCGCGTTGCGACTAGATGTGCTATCGTACCACTCTGTCTTTGGCACGAGCAAGCGGTTAAATGTACTGGCTCTAAAACAGTTGTATGACGTGGATTGAGCAGCCGATGATGCGCGTAGTACTGATTTGACTCGTCCGCAAAGGAATAGTGTCTGCGTAGACGTAGACGTTGTCGCGCTAGAAAGTCGCGATTGCATCACGACTATACATATATATATATATATATATATTTATTGATGCACTATAGTGTATTTCTCTCGTAGAACGTGCATGCTGTAGCATTAGACGCCTCTCCTAGAATTTGAACACGATTTCACCAAGATTGAGAGCACCGGCACCTGGACATGTGTCTTGCAGCACTGGTTCGAGTTATTCGCATTACGAACACGTGAAGCATGTCTCATTAACCCTCTATCGGATTCTATGATTTTGCCGAAGTTTTAGTACGTAATTTCAGTATATACATGCTCTCGGTGTCGTTTTCTTATACTTTATTCGAGAAAACATATATTTATCACACACGAATTGTCGAAGAATGCTAAGAAGCCGAGGAATCTCACACGAACGTAAACTCGCCGCCATTGTTGAAATAATCTTTGACAGATGCAGAACCGTTCGTCTTTCTCTCCTCTCCGTGGAAGGGAAAAAGAAAAGAATTGGCCCTATAGAGGGTTAATCGCGTGATAGAGCCGCTAGTTTGTCCGCGAATCCCCAACCTACCTGCTCTTCTAGCTCCACTTCCTTCTTCGAAGACCGAGGTCTTCGATTCTCGCATAGAGACCGAGTAACAATCGAGTACCGCTCTAGATATGTCGAGACGCCACACTACCATCTATTATACAATCCCGCTAATTGAAGCTATCTCGAGCGACCGTTAATGTGGAGAGTCGTCGAAACTGTGGCTGCCCGCCGGTCTCCATTTCTGAACGGCTTCTCAACAGCCTTATTAACACGCTTACGATCTGTATTTATGGAGCAACCCCTGTCGTGTGCCAAAAGCCATCCCTTTACCTCCTGAACGACTTGTCAGCCCGCGTGCGCGCAAAACATGCGACCGAGGACAGACCTTTAACGTAACGTCTCCGTCAGGTCCATGGAGCGCCTCAACGAGTCCAGCCAGGTCGCCGAGTCCGGTACACCGGATAGAGCGCGGCGGCCATTACGGCACGACTAGTCTGGAGCAACGTTCGAGGAGCCCGAGCCCGATCAGCGGTCACCCGCATCATCATCGTCGTCGCCATCATCCGCATCAACACAGTTATCCGGTGCTGGTGGCCAGGAGGGGTCAGGGTCGCCAGCTACCGCCGACCCCGAGCAAGCCATCGACTCTGCAGCTGAAGCCGACCAACATTAACTTTCCCAAACTGAACGCTTCGCCTACTCATGGCCCGCACATGGGCGGACCGCATGTGTCGGTGCTGCCAGGTGTGCTGCACCCGTCGCCGCCGCACATGCAGCCGGGTATACAGCAGGGTCACCTGCGGCCGCTCAGCTTCGAGCAAGCGGTCGCGATGGGCCGCGGTGGGATAGGACGTATGCTACCCAGCCCGGTGCCGAATGGCTACAAGCCGCAGCCGCACTCCAAACAGAAAACGCCCAAGTGAGTTGACTTTCTTCCGATTCATCTTGAACGATATCATCGTATTCTTCTTCTTCTTTTCTTTCTTCTTCTTCTTCTTCTTCTTCTTCTTCTTTTCCATCGATCCTCTACCACTGATCGAGGTCGACATAAATAGTAATTGCATATTTTGAAAATATTATCAATAGAGTGATTCTGCAATCTTTATTTATTTATTTTTCCTTTTTTTACATGTATCTGTTTAATATACTTGTTGGAGTCTCTTTGTGTGTACCTAGCCAAGAAAGTTACATCCACCCTCGACTGACGACACAGGATTTCTTTCGCAGGTCACGGCATTCCGACAGTGACGAGGACGATTGGTGCTAGCCAAAGTGGGACCCTGGACGGTGGTCCGGTGACGTGGACGCCCCCAGGCGTCTTAGGGTTTGCGCATGAATTGTCCAAATGGGACGCGCGTTGATTCCGGTGTGCACTCGAGGGCAATGGAAGAGCCTGATGAGTCTTGAAACCTTGATGGTTTCCCGACGACCATGATCAGCCGTGCGGATACCGCGCACAGGGGCGGCCATTCCGGTCATGGTACGGCGTTTCGGCAGTGCGACCGAAATGAATCTACGGAAGAGTATCGTTAAACGGGGAAACCAACGTCGATCCGAGGTGGACGGTGTTCAGGCCGACTCCGAGGGCTGAACACGACGACCGAACAGGGTCAGCAAATAGCAACTGCAACAGCAACAATAGTAACAACCACAGCAACAACAACAACAAGAAGCTAATTTCGTCGTCGGATCATGGGATTGATCGATCGATCCATCAATCCGCGTGTCCGACAGTCAACAAGAGCGATCATTCACGCGAGACGTAACGTCACGCATGCATCCGGCAAACGAAGAGGAGTGTGATACGGCTACTGTCCTACGAACGATCGAAATGCAATCAAATCGGCCGAGCTTGGCGAAGCGCAAGGATCGGCCGCTTACTAGGAGACCGAGCCAGGATCAACAGCGTTAATGATCACCCAAACCCGGGCAATCTCCCGAACGTCGTAGAGAGAAACGAATGCGATATTCGCTGGTTAACGATTAATCGATCAATCGCCGTCGTTGAGAACGCTGAATATCGCTCGATGGTGCGAACGACGATCGGCGAAATGATCGGAGGAGCGATCCCGGTGTGATCGCATCATGCGACAGCTACATCGAGAGATAAGGTGATGGTGGTGGTGGTGGTGGTGGTAGTGATGGTGGTGGTGGTGGTGGTGGTGATGGTAGTGGTGGTCGGCAATAAAACTCGTCGTACACGATAGTGAAGAGGCGAACAAAACGGACGTTGCGAGAGTTCGAACCCTCCCACCATATACGTGAGTTGATATTTTAGCATCTTCCCTCGCGCCTCGATTGGCCGACGATGGATCGAGAAGTCCGCCGGGGAAGATTCACTTTTTATACGATTTACCGGAGGAGAGACTCATCGAAATGGCCGAATGTCGGCCACTGTGATCACCACGAACGTTCTCTTACGTGTGCGTGTCTGTTGCTGAATGTATGGTGTATGTGTGTACGTACGTGCGAGCGAACGAATGAACGAACGAACGAATGAACGAATGCGCATGCATGGACGTGTGAAACCCTTTCCCTTGCGAGATTCGTCGATAATTGCGACTGACGCGTCGAATCATTTCACCTTCATGCGGGTGATGTCGGTAATAAGCGATGTTACTCGTTCAACGACGACGTTAATGAGGCGAGACAGATTAAGAGACGTTGAACTGAATAGGTGAGAAGGGCGGTAGGGTCGACCTTAGGCTCGTTGTTGGGTCAACTGATTTGGTCGATGGACTCGCACTAGAGCGACCTGGTTTTGAGAAGTAGAGGAACACGAGGAACAACTTAAGATTGAAGACGAGACTCGTTGGATCAGGCATGTTTGCCAAGGTCGGCCCTGCGATGAGGACTCCTTCTCAACACATTGTAGCATTTTGTGTTCTTTCCCCCTTTTCCCTTCGCTAAAGACAAAGGGTTACGCGAGCGAGTAATCGGGGAACTCCGCTGCGTGAACAGAACAGACTGACGAACGCAGGTGAACGTTTCCCGATGAGTCGCGCGAGATCCTGCCCGAGACCCTGCCCGAGGAAAGGACTGACGTGGTGGTTGGAATAGTGGAGGTCAAGGAGTTGACCCTCTTAACGCGTAATAATCGAACAGGAGAGAGAATACAAACTATTCTACCGAGACTCACTAGCTCTATTCTGCCATTAGCGAAGTCACGTGAGGAAACACTTTAATCAAAAACAAAACAAGTTAGAAAGGAAAGCGCGAAAGATCAGATATCGCTCCGCGAAACCGAGTAGACAGTGAGAGAGGGAGAGACGTGCAAGAACTGCCGCTGTGCGATATCGATAGTTTGCAATTGCAATTCTTGCAAATCGCAAAAGCGAATACAAAATCGCGATATGAAAGTTGCTTCAGGGGTGAGAATACGCGCAAGATCGGCGTTGGCGTTAATTATTAGGCGCGTTCGTAGAAATTAGAAGTCGATTTGAAGACACATCGAGACGAGGAAATTACGTGATCGATAATCGGTGTGATTATTGGCTGCGAGGAGAGAAGAAAGTTTGAGGAAATTCGCGGTATCGATTAACGAAACATAAAATTCACAGGAAAAATTTTAATTTACGACGGTGGAACGTAGTTTGTTACACGAGACTCTGAAACGCATGTCGGACGTGATCGAGAGGCGCTTCACGTTTTGGCAAATTGGCGAATTTAACCAAAAAAAGAAAAAAAGAAAAAAAATGGAAAAGGAAGAAAAAGAAACTTCTAAAATTTCTCTTACGCCGTGTGAAAAGTCCACGACTCGAGACATATACAGGGATAGTTGTAATAGAGTTAGGCAAAATATAATGAGAGTCGTGTAAAATACCAATAAATAACGTCGAACAGCGAAGGGTAGAAGTCGCATATTGACGTTATATTAACGTTAAACGCGCATGGCGACGTTTCGTTGACGTTATCTCGAGTAAATTTTCAGTCGCTATCGATCCTCGATAGCGAGAGGAGAGATCGGCAGGGTGAGATTCAAATCGCGAAATATCGTTCGTTGATTCGTGCGGATGTTACCTCACGATTCGTGCCAATCAGTGATCAGGGGAGAAACTTTAAACAGCAACCAAAAAAAATCAAGCAAAAGAGGACCACGATCTAGGGGAAGATGGCGTATTCGGAATACACGGGTTACTGATACTGCATGTCGTACGCAGGGAGAGAGAACAATCGTTGCAAACATTGTCGGAAAGGGGGAGGGGATATAGGGAAAGACGCATAAGGGGAAGATAGAAAGGGGAAGAGTGAGAAGCAAAGGGAAAAAAAGTACACGAGAAAAAATATAGATGGTACTAGGGATACGGGAAACAGGAGAGAGAAAAAACCAATTCTTACCACACGGTTTTCAAGCACTTGTATAAATTACTGCATAATTAAATTACAATATTTATTATATTATAGCTGCTATAATACCGTTGCTAAATAACAACAGCTACAGAAAAGAGGAAGAAAAACAACTAACTCCACTACTATTACTATTATTCTAATTACTAATTACTGCTACTACTACCAATTACTATTACTATCACTCTAACTATTCTAACAACTGCTACTATTTATTACGATTACTATTACTATCGCTACCACTATTACTACTACTACTACTACTACCACCTCCATCACTCTCACCACTTCCATCATTATCACCACTGCTACCACTATTACCACTAGCACTATCACCATTATCATCATCACTACTATCATCATTACCATCGTTATCACCTCCATTATTATCACCACCACCACCATTACTACTATTACTATTATTACCATTATCACTATCTTCATCACTACCATCATCACCATTCTCACCACTACTACCACTAATACCACCACCACCATCATCACCACCATCACCACCACCACTATTGTTATACTACCGCTACTACTACTACTACTACTACTACTACTACTACTACTACTACTACTACTACTACTACTACTACTACTACTACTACTACTACTACTACTACTACTACTACTACTACTACTACTACTACTACTACTACTACTACTACTACTACTACTGCTCCTACTACTGCTCCTACTACTACTACTACTACTACTACTACTACTACTACTACTACTACTACTATTACTACTACTACTACTACTACTACTACTACTCCTACTACTACCACCACCACCACCACCACCACTACTACTACTACTACTACTACTACTACTACTACTACTACTACTACTACTACTACTACTACTACTACTACTACTACTACTACTACTACTGCTACTACTACTACTACTACTACTACTACTACTACTACTATTACTGCTACTGCTACTGCTACTACTACTACTACCAGTACTGCTGTTTCTACTACTACTACTACTATTACTGCTACTGCTACTGCTACTGCTACTGCTACTGCTACTACTACTACTACTACTACTACTACTACTACTACTCCTACTGCTACTGCTACTACTACTACTACTACTACTACTACTACCACTACTATTACTACTACTACTACCAGTACTGCTGTTTCTACTGCTGCTACCGCTATTACCGCTATTACTGCTACTACTGCTACTGCTGCTGCTGCTGCTGATACTGCTACTCCTGCTACTATTGCTACTGTTACTGCTACTGCTACTGCTACTGCTACTGCTACTGCTACTGCTGTTTCTACTATTGCTACCGCTATTACTACTACCACTACCACCACAACTACTACTATACTACTACCACTACTACACCACTACTATATTACTACCAGCACTACTACTATTACTATTACCACTACTACTATCGCTACTACTGCTACTACTGCTGCTGCTGATACTACTGCTACTACTACTATACTACTACCATACTACTACTATACTACTACCGTACTACTATACTATACTATACTATACTACTACTGTTACTATTACTACTATCGCTACTACTTACTATTATCAAACTATTTTACCGACTACTATCGTCGCTACTAGTGCTGTTACTATCATTATTGTAATACTAAGTATGCTAATTATCGAAAAACGTGGACGAGAAAATCAATTTATATGACTAGTTCATTTAACTCTCGGGGTTTTTCGCAAAAGGAGAAACCGACTTGCTGCCGAGTCGTTGAATGTCCGTTTAAACGACGTACGACAAGATTGAAAAGAAATTGTAGAAAGACAACGGGATAATAGATATTCAAGAGAATTATATCTGCATACCAGGGCTTGCTAAACGCAACTCACGTGTCCGAAACGAGATTACATACTGAACTTACAACCATTATATTATACATAAAAGAAAAACATTTAACATACTGCCAATCGTACGAGGTGTTTTAAGCGGAAACACACGAAAATATATAGGTGTACATAAGCGTACGTCATTTTTTTCCTGCAACACGTTATGGATATACGATATGTCTGTAAGTAGGTAAGTGTACATATATTCGATGAGCAAAAGGGAAGGAAAAAAGTAGAAACACAAAGGAACGTATGAATGGAGTACACGAGTAATCGAGTCGGTAAATTCAGGAAGCTGAGTAAGTCGACCGATATGTAATTAATTGGATTAATCGATGGCAAGCGATTTGTTTTGCGGGATGTTTTTCATCTTTTAATTTTCGCTCGCTCGTTTTGCGTCTCAGTGTCAAAGTTGAACAAGTCAAAGTTAAAAGAAGGCGCGGGGAGGAATAAATTAGACCGACTTACTTTGTTTCTTCGACGAGTTCTTCGATTGATTTTCGACGCTACTTTGCGGTTGTTCGTATAATTTTCGTGTATCGGCTAAGTCAAAATAAACGAGATTGTTGCCACTACGTAACGACGTTAATTAATATAAGTAGCTATTTTAAAAGAGCGTGTGCATGCGTAAGCAAAACTGAGGAAAAGGCGAGAGAATGGCGTAGAGAACGAGAGAAAAGGAGAGTGATTGTGATTTTTTCCAGTGTGTGATTCACGCAGAAAGATCCTTGGTGAACGGATTAACGGTGTCCACTGTCGAAGTTGTTCGTGGTAGTAGAATGTGGTACCTCTCTCTGTAACAAGTTATTTTTTTAAATCTAGATAAATTATTCTTGAGCGAAAACCAAATACTGAAAAAATACACAGAAAGTATGATAACGTAGAGAGTGAGTAAAAGTACATTATTTCTTTCTTTTTGAGAGAGTCACCGAGGATCTCGTGAGCGCATCTCTAGTGACGCGTAATCAGAATCGCGTGATTCTTCCCTTAAGTGCTTTAAAAACTCAATCGTATATCGTATCATCGCGTATAAACGTCGCTATAAAAAGGAATTTGTAATTATTATGATTATGAGTAGAAACGTACTGAGAAAGGAGGAACATTATCGCGATTCGCTAATACTGGCTTGCGTGATATTTTTATTAAATTGCATATTATCTTGTTTTATATTTACTGTTTCCTTACGAATGAAATAAATAGGGACTTGAAAAAGGAAATTTAGAAAGAAAAATCTTTTTTTTTATTCCAAAGAAAATTTAGAGAGAATTTTTTTTCAATTTAGAATGAAATTTAAAAAGAAAAATTTATAGAATTTATAGAAAAAAGTTCAGAAGGAAAATTGTTCTCTGAAGAAATTTTATGTAGCAATCGATATTAATGATAACGAGTATAAAAAGATAATTGATCTCAGTAGGAGAGGATTGCTCACAGAGGCCAGTATTAACAAATGTCGCGGGATAAATTGGGATCGACAACGTTCTATCTGGGAGTCCGTAAAATCGTGACGAAGTTGAACATTACGATGCGCGCGCGTGTGTGTACGTGCGTGCGTGTGTACGCGGAGAAGTAAGATTAAATATTCATAAAAATGTTTTTCTCTGTGATAAATCCGAAAACTTTTAGCCGTTCTGACGATACGGTCGCGTCGATAGACGATCCCGCAATTATGAAAAAAACAATGTGTTTATAGTTAATAGTGAGAAAGAGAAAGAACCGCATTCACATCCGTATATTTAGCGTCAGCTTTAGTGCAAGGAGCATTATTACACACAAATTTTATTTGCTCGAAGCTTAACGCTAAGAGGGGTTGCATTCCGTCTAATGATCGTCAGTCTAGAAATTTGCAACATAAAATCTAAAATGAAGATATATACATTTGTATCTATTTTCCACACGTGTATTCAAATATAAGATGATGATTGGTTAAAAATAAATTTAATGTTGGACTTAGGATGTGAATACGGATCGAGGAGAATGCATGAAAGAATCGATGACGTATATGGTGTGTAAAAAGCAAAATTAATCGAAAGAGGTGAAAGAAAGTTAAAGGAAGAGAGGAAGAGAAGTGCGCATATTAGGTATGCCGTGTTTAATGTACACATCAATAAAATGTTGTACGTGCGTGAAAGAATAATCGAGAGAATAATTCACAAACACATTTTACAAAATGTCTCACATCGTAAACAGGACAAGCGGATGACCAAGCTCGCAAACGATAACTTAACACGTTAACTTAATCCGAAACACAAATACTAATGTAATTACAGTTTAAAAGATGCTAATTAAAAAAAGTAAACCTGGACGAAACCGTGGTTAAATTGTGTTTAGTAACAATAACGTTGTTAACACTAATAACATTTACAGTTGTAAAGATGATACCTTACTACTACTACTAATAATAATAATAATAATAATAATATTAATAATAAAGACGATAAGGATAATATTTAATAATGATAGTAATAATACTGATAAGATTACTAATAACAATAATATAGATAATAATAGGGATAATAATAATAATTAATTAATTGGTTACACGATTCATTTATAACGGTATCCAAAAGTGGCAGGCGATAATAAAAGACTCTAATTAAGTACGTGGCAAGATATAATCCCGCGCGTGTTAACTATCGTTGTCGTTGAATGCGAAATGAAATGCGTGTGTGTGTTAGTATGAAACTTAAAAAAGTATTAAAGTAAGGCGCTAATAAGTACAGTGTCCAATTTCGTCTCGACGCGACTCAGCGATCCTCGAAGGC